GCTCAGTCTTATAGTGCAATTGAGGCCATAGCTACTGAATCAACCTTTGGAAAACAAGAAGTAGTAGTACGTGGCCTTTATAGGCCACCCGAAGCTTCATGTACTAACTACTATATTAGACTGGAGGATGAGCTGAATGAAGTTGTCTCTTGGCTGTCACTGCCAAAGCAATTTATAGTAATCACGGATCTAAACCTATACCTGCCAACTTTTTCTGAGATATAAGCGTGAGATTTTTATCCTGGGAGTGCTGGGATTTTTGAATACAACACGATCATTTCCGAAGACTTCCGAAGACGTCCGAAGTTTTCCGAAGACGTCCGAAGTCTGCCAAAGGCGAAGTTATCGAATCCCCGTCTTAGGACGCGTATAAACGCGAGCTCGCTCCCGGTGCTTTTCACTTCAAAAATCAGAGATCGCGAGGAAGGTATTGTCATTTATTCATTTTACACATGGTTTTCGTTCCTTACATGGGTCTGAGTTAACATATTTTTGGAAATTGTGTCAAGCAAGACGGCAACAACTCACATTTTTCAATCAGGTGTGAGAAATTGGCCCGCAAGCGTGAGCCGGCGTGAGATCGAAGTTTTCAACCCGCAGGCGTGAGACTCACGCCTAAGGCGTGAGAGTTGGCAGGTATATAAACCTAAATAGGCTGAGGTCATACCAAAGAGAAGGAAAAATATTGCGCGATTTTGAAGATGTTCGTGGCCTGAAATGCCTAGTTACTAAGCCAACTAGAATTACTGATACAACAGATTACTTTCACTTGCGTTTCCTTTTGCGTGCTGCTGTCGAGTGACTTCTCATGACTCCCTTAAATGGAGAGCTTGCTCGCAGGCTATTCTTTGGCCTGCCAAGATTGACCAATCAACTGGGCACGCAAAATGGTAAACCACTATTAAAATAAATCACCTTTATTACAAAATAGAACTGATCATACTCATACTATACTATATGATAATATAATAGTATTATTATTGGTTAATTCCTTTTTGGTACTGCAGGGATGAAGCTAAGGATAAAGCTAAGCAGGCTTCAACATGTCACTTAAGCGACATCCCTGTACTGGAATAAAAATTTATGAACACCAGGCCCCAGTTGTTCAAACGTTGGATAGTGCTATTCACCAGATAAATCACTATCCAGCCGATAAGTATTAGGGAAACCAATTACGCCATCCAGTGGATAGATTTTTATCTGTGGATAACGCTATCTAATGTTTGAACAACCAGGGCCAGCTGTTTGAACTGATGAGTGAAAGTAAAACACAGGCCCAAAATACACTGTATCTATATGGGTAAGTTGCACCCAAATGGGATTATTAGCAGTGGGAGATTTCTTTCCCAGTTTCTTATACCTGTAGTTAATTAACTGAGTGTGTATTATTACTGTTGCATCTGAATTATGTGGAATAAAACTGTTGTTGTTGTTGTTGTTTTTTTTGGGCCTTAATTATCAGCAACGGGAGCACTAACCAAAACTGTCAATGACTGCACCGTTGATTCTCCCTTCCTTTCATGTCTTAGTTCATGTTGCCTACGATTTGGTCTACTCTTAAAGCACTTATCACAATAACTGCATTTAAAAGGTTTAAGTCCAGAGTGATACATTTCATGTTGTTTGCAAAGTGTTGAACGTGTAAAACACCTATCACAATGCTTGCATTTGTAAGGTTTCACCCCTGTGTGAGTGCGTTCATGCTCCTTGCAAGACTTAGCCATGGTAAAGCACTTCTCACAGTAGCTGCACTTATGAAGTTGTGTTCTGGTGTGCGTAGATTCATGTTGACGACAAGTTGATTGGTAGACAAAGCCCTTGTCACAATACTTGCACTGGAAACGTTTCAAAGCTGTATCAGTGAGACCTGAGTGAGTGAGTTCATGAATCTTACAAGTTGACGACTGACTATAGTGCTTATCACAGTACTTGCACTTGTAAGGTTTCACCCCTGTGTGAATGCGTTCATGCCGCTCACAATCAGAAGGGTACATGAAGCACTTATCACAGTACTTGCACTTAAAAGGTTTTATCCCTGTGTGAATGCGTTCGTGACGCTTATAATCAGAAGAGTGCGTGAAGCCCTTATCACAGTACTTGCACTTGAAAGGTGTTTCTCCTGTGTGTATAAATTCATGCTTCTTGCAACATAGTTTCTGAGAAAATCTCTTATCACAGTACTTGCACTTGAATGGTCTTTCCCCTGTGTGTATAAATTCATGCTTCTTGCAACATACTTTTTGAGAAAAGCTCTTATCACAATACTTGCACTGATAAGGTTTTACTCCTGTGTGCAGACGTGCATGCGCTCGCAAATTTGATGAATGCCGAAAGAGTTTGTCACAGAAGTTGCACTTGTACGGTCTCAGTCCAGTGTGGATATGTTCATGATCCTTCCGAAGCCAATCAGTGATAAAGCACTTATCACAGTAGTTGCACTTATAAGGTTTAACTCCAGTGTGTAGACATTCATGCCGCTTACGAGTTACTGAATGGGCAAAGGACTTCTCACAAAAGTTGCATTGATAAGGTTTCACTCCAGTGTGAGTTTGTTCATGTCGCTTTAAATTGCTAAAATACTTATTGCAAAGCTTGCACCGATGAGGTTTAACTCTAGTTTCCTGAGTAAGTCCACCATTTTTTTTAATCTTGCACATGCTTTTCTTCTTTATGTTCCTGGTTTTTTTCTCAGTTGTTGTTTCTTGCTCTCCTGTTGAATCCATCCTTCATATGTCCTATAAAAAGATTGAAGGGGGGTTTCTTTTCTAAATTCTTGCCTGGTTCTTATATCGCTAAAAATGAAAAAGTTTAGCATTGGTGTCAATCTGGGCTCAGTAAAACTTATACAGTGACTTAAGTTAACACTGAACTGATTATGTATAAATGTACAGTGCAGAAACAGAAACAACAAATCCTTTCGACATGTAGATAATCACGTGTTCCTCATATGATAATGAGTTGATATTTTGAGATAAAAATATCGGTCAGTGTAAAACGCAGACTGCAGACTGCAGACTGCAGACTGCGGACCAGGGGTAAAATGCAGACTGAGTGTAAAATGCAGACTGCAGACTGAGAGTAAAATGCAGACTGGGGTAAAATGCAGAATAAAGACTGTAGACTTTTTTAAACATTTGTGCTCCTTCTTCTCCAAATCGGTGAAATAGCTAGCCGGTATCAGTTACACACTTTGCTTCCTAGTCGAAGTGCATTGCACATTCGCCAGAAGTTTCAATGAACATCCGAACAGGTTAAGTCTGTGTACCTTAATTTGCAATACTTTCATAGAAGGTCATCCAAATTTCCTGCAGAACATCTTTCATTGTTGTTGGAATGATTTCCTCCCTTTTTATCAGCATAATTCTTCCTGTACAGTATTTTGGGTCAGCAGCTTCCATTTAAGCGTAAACATCATGGTGTTGTAACAATTCACAGTCCCTAGTCACGTATTTCGAAAACTTCGCGTCTAAACTTGAAGCGTGAGGTCTCTCGGACGGAAAAAAGGTTCAAGATTGCGATTATATGTTTTTGGGCCGTCAACAACGTTCTAGAGAAGAAAGTCCTGAATGGATTTGTGAAAGCAGATGTCGTCAAGTAAGTGTTCATTTACATGTATTTGCGGGATTTTTTGACCCTTAAACCTTTCCACAACTACAGTTTATGCTCGGTCTGCATTTTACCCCAGTCTGCATTTTACTCTCAGTCTGCAGTCTGCATTTTGCACTCAGTCTGCATTTTACCCCTGGTCCGCAGTCTGCAGTCTGCAGTTCGCAGTCTGCGTTTTACACTGACCGATAAAAATATTCAATTTCAGGTATTTTTTATGGGAGAAGGCACAATTCACTTGACTCTTATTCTCCAAAATATACGTGAATAACTTGTTTTTGTAAATTTCCCTTGAGCCGGGGTTTGCAAATCACATGACTTGTGCGTGAGACACCTTTGTTTAACCTACGAACGGCTACTTCAAATTTTACCCACAACAAATACAAAGTCAGAATCGTGAAGTAATGGCGCAAGAAGCTAGACTTTGCAGCTGTAATTAAACAACTAAGGTTGTATCGAATAGACTGCGAGTCTGTCAGGGAAAAAAGCAAACTCTTTCGACCCTTAACACGACCAGTTTTTCATGGTCCTTGGGCGATCAAACAATTAGAATTTTACTTTGTCAATGATTAGGACATGTTGAGAAAAGTCTTCTTACCTTGAAGGAGAAGATCGCCAAAACGCAAACAGCGACAACGACTTGAAATACTCAAATGTGAACAGCGACGCCAAACTACAGCTCTAGGGAAGGGTGTTTCATGTAAAGTTCTTCAAGTAAACTGTCCGTTTTTGTCCCCATGTACCCAGGTTTCCGCGGCTCTAAGTAAAGAACCAGCATCCGCCAGCAGTAATAATAAAGGCCAAGCCAACTAGGAGCTGATCACTGACTTGGTTCGTTATATACCGGTCCTGAGACGAAAGGAAACATTTTGCGACGCTGTAGAAATTGAACTCTGAACGTAACGGGGTGACAGGCGGAAAAATTGGGGGAGGGGGAGAGGGGGCCAAGTACTCCCTGGCTTTTCCTCTTCCATTCATGATCTGTCGACGCCTGCCTTGCCATGCAGGCTATTCCAAGACAGGAAGTGAAGTTTTTTTTTCCGGAAAAACAGGAACTTCCTCAACTTATCCTCTTTTTTTAGGATATTTTCAAATTAATGCATTTTCAAAATTCCTAGTTTCATTGCAGCTGACGAGCCATGTTGGTTGGCAAGAACAAAAGCGTTTTCTCTCGCTGCGGATTTTAGATTCCGCGAAAAAAAATAATGTATTGTCAACCAGCCCTGGGGGTTACTTCAAAGTTTTATACGTGAGGTAGCTTTTTCACAGGTTTCAGGTATATGAAACGGTAGGGATATCGGATTTCACCAGTTAAAGTGTACGAAAGGGTAGGAAATTCTATCATTTGGTCTGTAAAAAGGCCCAAAGGTGCTTACAGAGACATTTTATAACTGGTTTGAGGTTTATTCATATCTTAAAGAGCACGCATTTACAATTTCGAAGGGACGCAAAGTTTTAAACAAGCCGGTGTGGAAGGGGTACCATTTGTCAATAGAAGGTGTAAGAAAAGAATACCTGGATTTTAATATTAAGCAATTCCAGTTGTCAAGTTTTTCATCTGATGTTTCTGACGATCCTGGCGGAAGCCGGTTGGGATCTCCGTAGTTTTCCACTAAAATGTTGCTATCGAGGTCGGCCGATTGACTGATTATGAAACCTTTGAGGAGGAACTAATCACTTTTAAACCAATGAAGGATTCGATGAAAACAAGGTTGATCGATGGAACATATTGACCTGAAAACGAGGCTGCTTGGCAGTAGACCACCGATCAATCTCGTTTCCAGGTGCGGCATTGTGCACAGCTTTAGAGACACATCGCCTCTGCCTTTCTGAAAAGTATATATAAGAGAAAAGACTCAAATAAAGTTCGTTATCTCCTTGAAGAGTTTTTAAAAATCTTTTAAATGAATAATAAAACATTTATTGAATTCGACAGATCTCGGAGCTTGTTGTCTTTCTCAGCAGCCTTGACTCCATCGATAACATCCTCCTCGATCTGCAGAATTCTTCATAGCCTCAGCCTCATCTAGTAATTGCTATTAACGAAATTACTTTCTCTTAGTTTTAGTGAAATAATTCCTATTGTGTTTACTGTTTACTGTTTTGTACACACAACGCATGTCAGTTGATAGCCATTGGGAAACAACTTGCAAGGTAAGGCTCCGCAATGACTTCGTACTACATGCAGCGCAGCACCATCACCAAAAGTCGTGCCCCCAGGTTCAGCTCTTTCATCAACGCATACAAATTGACTGGAATGATGATTCTGGTCATGACCAGACATCAGATATCCACGATACTCCACGATCCACCCCTTCGGGCACATGTTTGTAGCGGGGACCATAATTTGAGATCCACGTGAATCAACGTAACACACAGCACATGGCACGAGATGTTCATTCACGTGGTTCTTAAAACCTCGGAAGGTTGTATAGTACTTGGCTCCATGGATGGTCGCTCTCAATTTGCGAATATTGGTGGGATGAGAGTGTACGCCATATTTGACATCACTTGTGAGGCAGATGTAGTTAGACCCACCACCCCGGTGTTTGGAATACCCATTAGCCATAAACCCTGCAAAGCATCAATGCATGAGATAAAAAGTGGTGATATTTCATCCGAATCTTTCTCTCTTATCAGTTATTTTATCAAACGGAGTAAATATAAAGCTAGACTGCCGGCAGATGTCCTTCTTTTCTCGGAGCCACCCGATGCGAGCGAAGTAAAATTATGCTCGTCTCTCGGGCTTCCGCCCTCGTTTTTTGCGGCTTCGCCGCTCACCCCTAACGCGTAATCTCGATCTACTGTGACTCAAAAGAAAAATAAGACGCTTCTCGCAGTCTAATAGACCGCGTGGTTGGTCTTTGTGCTAAGTGAAATGTGAACCAAGACACAAGGAGACTGACAAGGTTGCGTGCCGGACAATATTTCGTGAGGGAGGACTGAGGGGATTGGCGGCCATAAGCCTGGAAAACGAGGTAATAAAAACCCGGGCTAACTCTTGGGGTAACACCAAAGTGCTGAAGCAGCGTAGTACGTCAGGAGCTGCGTAAGTTAATATTTTTTATAGTGTTGTTCGAGTTGAAAATAGGCTCGGTTACCAGCCGCTGTTCGAAAAATGAGCCAACGCACCCCTTCCCCACCCCTGTCTCGAAAAGTCTCTTCTCGGAAAGAAGCAAGACCGGACCCTGGAGCGAAGGAATTGAGTCGAAGTTGAAAAGAGACCGCAAAGGTGGTTGTAATTACTCCAATACAGCCCAGCGCTGAGTAAAATATCAAGGTATGATCATGACAACTTTTATTAAACTGGACCTTTTTGTGTGGTGGTTTGAAATAAATCTACTTCTCATACCATGGTACACTAAAGAGGCGTCTCTTGAGCAATTGTTTCGTCCCCAGTGGGTGTAGGCCACACCCAATTGGGGCTGCACCAATTGCCGTTCTTTCATCGCTCCTTTCGACAGTGAAGATTCCCTTGCGCCAGTATATACTTGTTGCCCAACCTTGATGTCACCTAATGATTATACAATAACTGATTATATTATAAATTCAGGGGCAGTTACATATTATTTGTCAACAGTTAACAATTACTGGACGAGGTTGAGCAAAATATTGTGGTTTGTCAGTGGCAAGCAGATCAATTATTGATCTGCGAGACACTGACAAATCACGATATTTTGCGATAACCGAGTTCAATGTAATAGTTTAAGCATTCGATCACCAAGTTTGTTTTTTAATGAGTATCTTCGGGAAGCGAAGCGATCTGCCATTTTTAACGCAAGAGCGACCGCAAGGAGGACAAAAGCGTGGTTTCGTTTACACATGAGCAGAATATTATTTGCAGCCAAACACAGGTGGACGATATTGAGCATGAGCAGACCATTATTTGTTGGCAGTTATTTGCAGGTCACGTGGTGGGCTTTTGGCCAATGAAAAGGAAGAAGAATTTGCATCGAATGATAATTGGCATTACCGGACACGGGGGAAAGTGTGACAGTCTAGGCACAGAAATAGAAAAAATAACGATTAAAACAGGAGTTATTACCTACCTGTTGATGTTTCCCTTAAGAGCATTGTTTTGGACAATTCAGTTGCTCTTGAAGAAAAAGATATAAGTTGTAAGTTTGCTTCATCTACTTCATTATCTACGTTTTCTGTCCTATTTACTCCTGACTCTTAAACAATTTAAAACATGTTTAATTTAACACTCTTTCCAGTTGCTTTTTTACCGCAAATCTGTTGGTTAATTTTTATCTCTCTTGCAATCGGTCTCGCGCTTAAATTCCCTTCCCTTTCTCTTTTGATAGCCTGGCATGCAAACTAGGAGCCGTCCCGCTTAGGCGTGGTGACGCTAGTTGCTATATGAGAAATAAAGCTACTGAACTACTGTACATTATTATTCGTTCAAAATATTTCTCCTTTTGTGATTGGCTTCAGCACCCCCGGCTAATTCTTAGTAGTCAGGTACCGTTGACCAGACTTGGAAGATGTTTACCGATATCAGTTCAGCTGACGTCAATTGTATGGATATCGTGAGAAAAAGGGACAGCAAAAGGCGAGGTTGACGGAGCTGGAGAATATGGCGCAAAATTTCACACGTTTTGTGAAGAAGAAAAAGCTTAAAAATATATCAAAAAAGAAGAAATGCCACTCAACGGATGACGACTGCTACTCGAAGAAGATTTGTTAGAGTAAACAATCCTTCATATCCTTAATTTGCTGTCGGTTTTGAAGAAAGGAACTTTACATCAATCAAGGTAAGCATGGATTGAAGTTTGAAATATTGTGAATGTAGAATAAAAAAATGTGCTAGTTTCGGCCCCAAAAGACGCTCGAATATTTTCAGTCACTGCAATGCGAAGTAATGAAGCAATGTCGAAAAATCTTCCAAAAGATTCAAAAGACGTTTGAGTCTTAAAATAATCAACAGGTTGCGAGATAGGTATTTCAGGTATTTCCAGTTACTTATGAAAGGCATTATTTTAGATTATCTATTTAAGCACTAATGCATTACCAGGTGAGCTTTCGCGCACAAGCGTGATACATATCCTCATATGTACGAAATTTAACACATTACCTTCGCACGTGAAACCCTTACCGTTGGTATGGTTACGTCATAAATGACACCCAAAATAGACAATTTTATGTGAAATAGTTTACTATTCCATTGGTGTTAATTTATTAAGAAGAACATTACAAAAGAAGGCCTTTTTCAGAAACGAAATTTCTCCTCTCGTGTTGAAAAATATTTCACTTGTTCGCTGAGTTTACCAGAACTAAAGGTGGATATACAACCAGAGAACAGGAGCCTATACCAGCCTATTGTAGCCTATTATTATTATAATGATGATGATGATAAATATTTTTATTATTATTATTATTATTATTATTATCAGAGGAACCAGGAGAAAGAGAAGAGCAGCCAATATATCTGACATTGACATTACATCGGAAAGTGCGCAAGCCAGAATTTAAGTAGTAACTTTTTATCAGTTTGAATTATTATTTTTAGATAGTTTTTTTTTTTTATTAACTTTTTGATGCTTTTTATAATTGTTATTAGTAGTTTTTAGATAGTCATTTTACGACAATTCTCTTTCGTACACAAGAAGAATGTACATAGGGTATATATTTTAATATTCATATTCTTGAATCTGTAAATAGTCTATTTTTTAAAATCTATGAATAAAGTTTAATAAAAAAAAATATTATTATTATTATTATTAAGGTGGACTGACTATAATGGGGTCGCACATTTTCGGATTTTTGGGGTAAGACAGTTCTTCATATTTACGGTTATCAAACGTACCAGAATGTTTGTACTGTAGGTGAAAAGTAATATGTTCTTCAATTTCATTCACTATTAGAGGGTAGATATATAAATAGAAAGTGACCAAGTTGGGATCGCGAAAATTACCCAAAATTGAAAAAGTGACTAAGATGGGGTCAATAATTGGTCACAGAATAGACTCAGTAAGGGACGGACCGTTAGAAAAGTTATTGGGTTGGAGGGGAATTTTCGAGCCGCAGGAATTAATAGCCAAAGAGACAAATAACTCGTAATCGACTTAAAAAGCAACTTAAATCATTGTTTAGACTGTTAACTCTCTTCTATGGCGCCAGATATATTGGATTAAAACCTGGCTTTTGAGATTTGTCTATATTTTTACCACACGCATGGGCTGCGATAAACTTAAATAATTCTCCCATGTACCTATCGATGACAAGTGATTGTGCCCACCAGCTTTAAGGTTAAATTCCTTTTTACCCTCTTAACATTGACTCACTCTTTTAATACGTTTTGAAATTAACTCAGTGTTTTAACAGTTTTAATGCGTTCAGTCTAAAATACTTAATCAAAAATTAGAATAAATACGAAACATGTCATATCTCGAAATCACTACAGTTATCTGCATGATTTCTTTAGGATTTTTGGGAAGCACAGTGTAGCTGAACTTCTCAGTCTTAATGTGTCCAATTCTTGTCTTCCAATTGTCAGTTTTGAATCCGTAACCCGAGGGGCAGATTAATCAAATTTTTCATACCGGCGAAACAAAAAGTAGATACTCTTGGTAGTTACAAGTGTTTTAAAAGTTCAATGCTTTCTTAAATGGCCTTGTTTCTAACTCTTTTGGTGCCTACTTTCTGAGTATCAGTACAAAGAGAAAGAAGTCGTTCTACATTCAATCTTTTCACTGGAGCACTAAGCTTTAGCCTGTTTTTTTTTGTTGATCACTCCCGTTACAAGGATACCTTGTATAGTAGGAGAAATTTTTCAGGCCACAATTATCGGGACAACTCTGGGAGCCAGGAGACTACTAAACAATTATACAGTTTGGTGTTCATTGAATTATTCTTGCGTATTTCTTCCTACTTTCAAATTTGAGCGAGCTTTGACCACCTAGTACTATTTAGTGCATGTCTTACCTTTCCTCCAGTGAATGCAATTTTTTGATGAAGCTTGACAATCTTGAGTTGGCTGATCCATGTTCGGCGAGCCCCTTTTTACTCTTAGGGGAAACTTTATTGTTTTCTTCTTTCATGGAATCGAATCTTTTCTCAAGGAGAGTTATTCGCCTTTCTATAGAAACGACACAAATGATCAAAAGAATAAGCAAAGATACTTGGCAAGCAATCTGAACGAAGACCGCCGAACAACGACGTTTCCTCGTTACAGCATTTTGATCTTGTTCAAGCTTTCTGTAAGATTCTTGCGCCATTGTGATTCATGTATTCCGCTTCAAGCTTTGTTTCCTCAAAAATGCGGAAAATACTTTAATTCATCCACTTAAAGCTGCATTCACGACTTAATACCCGTCATTGTAAAAAAAGATTTGCGGGTAACAATTTTGTTTTTGTTGGCAAAACCAATATAAAATGATATTTATCTTATAAATATTTTTGTTAAATCTTTTTGGGTATATTATGCTAATTCATAAATACGTTTTAAATTAAGCTCAAGTGATATCAGTCATACCACTCCAGGTATTTAACTGTTATGTTTGTTTATCATACTCATTTCTCATCACATGATCAGTTAGTTTGAAATGTAACATGAGTTCGAGGATTTTGACCCACTCCAGACTGTTAACGGGACTATTAGCAACCTGGTTTTCCATGCATGCGTTCGAAACCCATACCGATCCATACCATACGGTTCCTTTAACTAGCCAACGCGCGTTATTGAACCACCCAGCTGAGGAGAATTTGCTTTTTCCTTCTCAGACAGAGACTTTGGCGGGAGATTAATTCTTTTCTTGCTGACAATGACATTTTGGATTTCGTCGAAAAGGTCGATGTTATTTTGACGCCGGCGCCATGTGTACGTAATGTGTGTAGCCACCTACAAAATTTAAAACAATAGAAAATTATAAAAGTGAAGATTATCTCCGTCAGGTCACCAACATCCGACACCGGATAACTCTAGCCTGTTCCAAGCGTTCAGATAGTGGAGAGCGGTGCGAAGTAAAGAAAGCGATGAAAAGTAAAGGGGGACTGGGGAGAGAAGTGCGTTCCCTCTCTCACCTCTCCCCCTCCCACGCTTTTATTTTTTCGCGCTCCATTTTACTTCGCCAAGAGACTATAAAGGGGACAGAGAGGGCATCCCCCATATACACCCTATTCCATAGGTAATTCGTCTCGAGTTATTTTTAGAGCCGCAGATCCCAAGGGGGATTGGACAACAGCCAATCACATAGCGCGAATGTATTCCGCGTGGACGACCCACGTTAGAGCCATGCGTCCTCCACGAATTGACGCGGAACAAAATGGGGGAAGACGCGGAGAGCGATTTTGCTATTCCTTTTGTCGACGAAAACGACTACAGCGAGATTTCTGCGAAAGCTGTGTCAGCGAAACGGAAATTAAAAAAGAATCGCCCTTCCTCTCTTGTATAGAGCTAACAGTACAGCAGGGAAATCCTTAACACACTGGATATTCTCTCAGGATCATTTATAATTTACAGTTTGAAGAGAGCAATTTCTGGTTTGATATTTATTCCTTTATTAGTCTTTTATTATTCAACAAAAATAACTCTTGGCGTCCTACTTGCCTAATTAGGGACTTTAAGATCCAACGGCGCGACGGCGACAAGAACGTCGCTTAAAAAGTGAATTTGAGATTTTTCAGTCTTTATAGCGATTATTCCTACCCACTTACTTTGTCAATTGTAGGCGAACCCTCCTGAAGATGAATTTCAAGGGACCATATTCAAGCTCAGAAAGAGAAATAAAATTTCGTCGTTGCTTGTTTACGTCCTCCATAAAACGCGAAATTAGGCATTTTCACGTCGTATTCGTGCAAAAACAGGAAATAAATGAACAAAAAAGTGTGTTGCACGTGCGAAGTTGTTGTTTTGCTGATTAAACCTATTGTTTTTTGACGTTCTAGTTGTCGCCCGCGTTGTTGGATCTTAAACTCCCTATTGTACAAACGACCGGTTTCAACAGACCGGCGAAATTTCTCATTTTATTAAAGCACTGAGGTTACGACAACTTCGAGTTAAACTGATTTCACGGGTTGTCAAAGAGTCCATCGATTCCTTTTTCCCAGGTGAGCGCCGACTCATTTCGTTTCAATATTCAGGAATGCTCTCCATCTTTTTACGCTTTCATTGCCTTTCGCCCGACATGTTTTGCACGGCGTTTAGTCATGCGAAACCTCCACGAAACATCCACGCCTCGCGCGAGGTAACTTTATCCCGATTCTAAAAATAACTCGAGACGAATTACCTATGGAATAGGGTGTATATAGGGGATGCCCTCTCTGTCCCCTTTATAGTCTCTTGACTTCGCACCGTTCCCTACTATCTAAACGCCTGGAACAGGCTAGGATAACTCTAACTAAACTCCGTCTAAGTAATCACAAATTGGCGATAGCGAAAGGTCGTTATGTAAGACCTTATATAAGAAACCGGAAGAGAGGATCTGTCCTATCTGTAAAAAAGATGTAGAAGATGAAATACACTTTTTAACTCTGTGCCCTGCGTATAAAAAAAAAAAGAAGTACTTTATTTGAATACTCAAACAAAGGATACAGAATATCAGTAAACAGAATGGCACCAGATGATGTTTTTCTGTTGTTAATAAACCCTCAGAGCAAGAACAAACCAGTGCAAAAATTAATTGCAAAATACGTATTCGACTGCTATGAGAAAAGAAGATCATTAGTTCTTTAGGTTAACGTTGATTATAGTTCCACTAGTGTGCAATTTGTGTTATGATTTTGAATTATTTGGATAAAGTCGACGTACATAGGACTGTATAAGACTCCAAATAAAGCACTGTCTTGTCTTGTCTTGTCTCTACAATCCTGGCAAAAAGGGTTTGGGATACCTCCCCATTTTCAGTTGGTTTTGTATGGAATTTACAGCTAACCTGCGATACACACTCATAAACACGACCTCAACAAGATTTTTCTCCCAACCCCCCCCCTAAACAAAATTGACGTCCATAAAGTGTACAAGATATGTAAATTAAAAGGTGTTTGATTTGTAACACCCAACACTGTTCAGCGGGGGAGGGGGGTCAACTTGAAGTACATTTTCCTCACCTAAAACGCAAAGTGTCCCAAACGTTTTGACCAGGATTGTAGCCAGCGAGCAAGCTCTCCGTTTGGGAATATCGTTAAAAGTAGACGTGCGAGAGACACGCGAGAGGAAGACGCGAACGCGGGGGAAGGGGGGTGGGCGGGCCCTCGCGGCTTTGCCCCTAGCTCGCGCGTTCTCGCGGGGCTCGCCCAAATAGGAGAGGTTGCTTGCAGGCTAGTAGTCACCTCGAGTCCTCGAGTGACACATGTTGCTGCTTGAACCGGGGCTGTGGTTTCTCCCCGGGGCGGGGGTTCCACTGGGACGGCAGGAATCCTCGCGCTCTTGGCGCGCGCGCAAGATATTAAGGGTATGACAATTGCCCCGTCCACACGAACTCGAATATTTTAAAACCCAACTTTGTTTTCACACGAATCTGCCTTCCGTTTACACGGAACAGACGATTTCGCTCATAGCAACACCGCTCTCTAGAGTGGTTTATTTTGGATCAGACGGATTTTGCGAATTCGCGTAGACGATTGAAACCGGATAGTAATCTCTAGGGGACTCGGCCAACGGAACGAGGCCTAAGGCGTGTCTCTTTAGCGGGTCATAATCAATATCCAAACAGGTGCTTTTACACAAGGACTTGTTATTGATTCATTGGACAGACAACCAAATCAAAAATACGTCAGTTGTCTTAATATAGAAAATTTCATTGAAAAGCTAACGCGCACAGTTTATTACGTTAAAAGAGAACACTGAGTTAAACACCATCGTAGATTTTGTTATATAGATCAAGTATACTCAGGTATGCTGGCTTCAAGATCAAAGGTACAGCAATATTTTTATGTACATACTATAAAGTTCAAGGATAACATTCATTGTTAACTTTACACATGCGACTAATCATCATTTTACTCGCCTTAATCTAGGTGATTACTTTTATTAAAACTATCATTTTCATGGGCAAACGTAGCGTTTACAGGCACAACTTTAGTCAACCTCATGAAGAAGTGTTCCGTCCTGGTTAGTTGGTGACACACGTTGGCGTTACTTTGCAATGCTGGCTCTAGTTATGTTGATTTGTTTAAAACCGTTCGACTGATACTATCCTTTTGTTATGTGTCACCGTGCTATGTTGTATTAATTTTTTTTCCTACTAAAGTCCTCATCTTGAATTTATATGTTCAATTAATTTCTTAACAAGAATGAACAAAGAAACTTGTAGCTAAAGCTCGAGAAATGAGAAGGAGGGAACATCACATCGAAGTGGGTGGGAGAATCTGCTAAAACAATGACGGGGCTACTCATCATACCGTCTGGGGGTAAAATCCAGGGTGGATCTAGCCTACGTGTAGCCGCACCCTTCCCCCGACAAAGGGAAAACGGAGGGGGAAAGGGTGCGGCTACACGTAGGCTAAGTGGATCCAGAAAATTAAGAAAGGGGTGGCCTTAGAGTTGCCAGCTATATAGATTCTCCTGTTAACTGAGAATTGTTTTAAAATCACGCAAAATTTCACCAAAAAGGGGACCGCGGTCCCCCTGAGATCACCCCTAAATCCGCCCTTGAAAATAGCTAAGGGAAAGTACGTATGCCACTTACCGTGCGGATTCTGCTTATTGGCGTATCACGTAGTTCCTCGTAAGCGTATCGAACAGGAAAAAAACAGGAAGCGATCGAGGGTGAAAATGAAATTGAGCCACACCTACAAAAGAGAACCAGGTAGTGGTGTTTGGAGACCCTTGTTCTGTTTCAAGGGGCCTCTTCTTCTAACTATTTGGGAACTTGTGCAATGATCAGTGGAGGCAGGAGCTCCTCATCGAGTAAAGTCTGCAAAACTATGACAAAAGTCCTTAACAATTAATCCATCTCTAGTTTGCAATAGGTTTGGAAGTTCTTGCAAAGTAGCTAAACCTTTGCAGTGACATCTCAACAGCTTTTCACCAATGGACCAACACGACAAAGTCGGAAACAGCAACATACAAACCACGCTTTCCCCTAAGTAAATAGAAGTTCGTTTTTACCGTCATTGCCTTGCATACTTAGTATTTATTCATTTTATCCTCTTTTCATTTTGTAGGGTGCCGTGTTTTTCGTCATTTTTAGTTTCTTCACAGTTTCTGTTGTCCACGAATCAGAAGCGACAAGTGGTAAATAAAAACATCGTAAAGAAATAGACTATGATAAAGGAAATTAAAGCCACTACCTAGTTCCGAGGGTTCTCTCTCTTGCGCCTTTCTCTAGGAAAGAGAGAGAACCTGGAAACGAGGTTGAGAAAGCTGCACTCTTGGACTAGTGGACTAGTGCCATATATCATCCCATCATACAATCCCGGTCACAATCTAAAGTTTTCTTCTTGTTTTGAAAAATACCATTATACTATTTAACGAGCAGGTTTAGCTTGGTACTCAGGAGGATTTTGGCACGAGCTGTACGTGTTAAGCTTTTCAACAACTGGCATGAATAAACACATTCAATTGTAAACGAAAGGTTTTTATGATATACTCTCATGAAAACGAAAGACTAAGCAAAGCCTTAAACTCACGTTGGGTTCTCCCCCCTAAGGCTCACCCTTTGCTTGGTTAAGATTAACGAGACAGGCAACGACCATGCATTGCGAATTGACATCATCCAGCCCCTCCCCTGTCGATGCAAAGATTTATTGGTTTCGTTAATAGAGCGTTTTCACGTGACGTCACGTCCACCATAATGGTGTTCCAAAACGAAACTTTGACCATTTTGGTGTCCTAAACCAATCCTGTGGGAATACACGAACCCAAGGCCTGGCCAAGTACCTAACGCATGCACACAGCTATATCATCCCGGCAGTGGCAGCCATGGACAGCTGTTTCACCCTTATTGAGGCTCATCAGCATGGCATAGCTGTCGGCTCTATGAACGGGCGAACCGTGTCTCAAAGACCGTTTACTGCCGAGAGCCCCAATAAGGGCAAAACAGTTGTCTATGGCTGCCACTGCCTGGGTGATATGACTATGTGCATGTGTGAGGTACTGGCCAGGCCCTGGGTTGGTGTATGTGTGCCCCTTGCTTTAAGTCTGTCAAACATAAACGTGTGTTTGCGATCGTCTTAACAAGGATTGGTGCCGTGTGTAGACGGAAGCGTGTAAACGCGTAAGTTTGTATGCTGCGATAACCATGATCGACTTACGAGTCGAGATGTGTGGATAAAGCCTCAGCCCCGGGATACTGAATTACCTTGATGGGAAGGTTTCACGGTTCAGTGTAGGCTCATTAATCAAAATGCTGTTTTTCTGTCGGGACAGGCTCTATCGTCTATGCAAGCAATATGATCATGTCATAATGTTGTCAAAGAACCAATCTGCACACTCCCCTGGCAGTCACTTGATCAGCTTATGTGCAAATAGTTGTAAATTCATCAACCATGGAATAAAACGTTCGGGTCAATAATAAATTCAACGTTGGTAGTGTTGGCATAATCCACTAATCTTTTGTGCGATTTTAGAACTCGTCCATCCTACTTCAGGTTACTCTGAAATATACTTCTACTTTGAAATACATTCTGTGATCTCTGAGATGCATGTGATTGGCACTATTAACCAATAGAATTAATAATAAATTGGAAAAAAGTATTTTATAATTAATGGGAATGCGCTGAACGGTAAACCGGTCCCTTTAAAATTACCAAAATAAAAAATATAAAAATAAATTCTTGCCTCATAAGGTCTCAGATTTTTTAGTACTTTGTAGCTTTTCGATTTCCCAATCTGGAAACACCAGTCCAAAGCCAGCCCAGAGGAGGAGTGAACGTCTTCCCACAATGCACTGCGATTCAAAGTAATATATCCAGATTTTTCGTGACGTCATCATTCGGCTCAGACGCTTGAACAAGTCAGAGCGACATGGCGAAATGTGTTGTTAGAAATTCGCGGCTATCTGAAGCCAGCCATTAGTTTGACTGGGTGGGGGTCAAGATCATTGACCAGGAGATGGTGGATATCAAAGAAAAAATCAACGAGGCCACCTATATCAGACGGCAGCGTCCAATCCTAAACAGGAGATGGGAGTTATGAACTTCCAGCGATTTTTCATCATTTGTTGTCACGTGACTAATTCACGTGACAACACTGAGCGTTCATTGCCGACGAAGACTATGCGAGACAGTCGAAAACTACAATACTGAAAAATCTGCGACCTTTTGAGAATAGAATTTAATTTAAAATTTCAATTATAAGATCAAGAATGAGGATTCATGGAATTATAACAAAAATTCTTTTTATAACCGCACTCACAGAATTTTACGTGGAGACAATTTGCGACGGTGAGCCTCCAAGGACAGTGAAATGTCCTCCACAATTTGTCATATCAACGGTTTGGGCCAGTTATGGACGCCATCTCCCAGACACGTGCATCGAGGGTGATCAACAGATTAACACCACGTGCCATGCTAATTATGAGAATACGATAAGTTCCGTGGAAGAATCATGTGACGATTCCAACTCTTGCACATTGGTATCTAGCAAAGACGAGTATGAGGACCCACCCGAATGCAAAGGTGTTAGAAAATATTTACAGGTGTATTACCTTTGCAAGTCAGGTAAGGTTTGAGATATGTTAAAGACCGGATTTCATCATATTGAAGATGTTTCCTCCCCTTTCCATCCAATAAAATGCCCTTCTTCGACGTGGAAATTAAGCAAGCGTCCCGGACGCTAAGTAGAGCATTTACGGTAACCAAATATTTGGTTGCACAAGATGCTTCTACATGACATTACAATTTCTTTTCTTCAGCGTCACAGAAAACCACTGGATAGTGGATCGGTTTGGACAAAAATGACTCTTTTCGGGATCACCCCATGTAAGTGAATCTAAGACAGTCTTGGATTCTGGATTCCTCGCCGTGGATTCCAGATTCCAGGTACTTGATTCCAGACTTTGTCAGCGACTTGGATTCCGGATTCCAATCTTTAGTAGGATTCTGCAATCCTTAAGCTGTATTCCGGATTCCAATGAACAACATTCCTGATTCCACAAGCAAAAATTTCTCGGATTCCAGAATCCACATTCCCTTAGATGGGGCGATCGAGAGTTTAAGTTTATTAATAACTGTTGTAGTTAATCTTCAACTTTACTGTTTATCATTGCTGAACAGAATTGATCACGAAAGCCATCTGTGAGTTTAGCCCGCCGGAGAATGTCACCTGCCCTGAAGACCAGACAATAAAAGTAGTGGACGCAAACTATGGACGAAAAGACAAGTGGACTTGTGGTGACAAGTTAGCTGAAAACGATAGATGCCTGTAAGCAATCTAAACTATCATCACATTGCTAAAATATTTACTACGAAACAATAACAAACTTGATAAGAAATAGAACACAAACAGTGGTGATAATCATATTCAACTTACCCATTTTTAGAAACTTGACGTTTCGTATGCTACTCAACATACATTTTCAAAAGTACCGTTACAATTTTGAAAACTGCCGAGACTAAGCACAAAACTTAAAAGTTAATCTATAGATTTCAAAATTGTAACGGTACTTAAACGTCAAGTGTATAAAATTGGTAAGCTGAATATGTTTATCTACTATGGCCCAAGAGCAATAACAAACTTATCCTCGTGTTTTTTCTCCAATTCTGGTTTTACTTGGAGAGCCAACCAATCATATTAAAATTGCTTGATTCATAGTCATGGGTTTGCTATCGTTGTTCACCGAATTAACCTCTGAAGTTCAGGAAAGTTGTGTGCGAGGTGGCGGAAGGGGGTGTGGTAGGTGAAACTGCCACTCCTATTTTCTCCTTGCATCTATTCCTAATAAAGTAAACAACTGATGGATTTTAACACGAGGTGTAAAGATGCCGAATGTTTGCACTCGCTTTTTTGTTCTCAGTTTAATTAAGACGAGTAGAAAAAGAGTACATAAAAGAAGTTAGAAAAAAGAGGAAAAAAGCATTGTAAAAACGACGACTCTAGGGCACCTAAATTACTCTCCCAGCTAGAGGGCACTCGCTCAGATTTGCGATCGCTCGACAAGGCTGTGCCTCCCCCCTTCCCCGCCTTCAATTAAAAATGTCATATAATCCCATATTTTTGACCAGTGAAAGGTTTTTATGGAGTGGTTATAGTCGGTTAAAGGCGGAATGTGCTAGTCGTTAAATGAGCAACTTTCTCCCAATTCTTTCAATTAGTTCCTCTAAGTCTACAGACATGGTGAAGGAGAAATGCGAAGGCAAAAATTTTTGCGAGCTTGAAGCTGCGAATGAGGTGTATGGAAATCCATGTGGACAGACTCACAAATATCTGGAGGTCAACTTTCACTGTCAAGCGGGAAAAAATATCAGTAAGTTTTTTTGTGTTATACGTGGGGCAACTGGTGGTCGATTCAGTAATAATGCTGCATGGTCATGTTTGTTGAAGCACTATAAATCAACGGCTTGTTGGTGGAGGTGTGTGTGGCCGAGCGGTCAACACCTCGAACTCCAGATCTGGAGGCCCTGGGTGTAGGCCTCGCCCATCGCGTTGTTTCCTTAGACAAGGAACTTTACTCCACTTTGTCTCTCTTCACCAAGATGTATAATTGGGTACCGGCGACATACTGTTGGGGGGTAACGCTGCGATGGATTAGCATCCCGTCCAGGGGGGGGGGGGAGTAGCAATATTCCTAGTAATGCTTCATGCTAAGGAAACTGGGATAAGCTCCGTCCGTTTGGACCTTTGGTTCATGAGCTCCCTTACCCCTTTTACCTTATTATTTTCCACTGTATCTCATGCTACTGACTTAAGCTTTGGTACTGCTACATTCTCCATCTATTTCATGATATTTTTTAAAAACTTTATTTATTTTTTATTTTTATTTTATTTTTATTTTATTTTTATTTTTCATTTTTTAACATCTACTGAAGAAGGCTGGATTGGCCAGCGGAAATATCGTTTAAGAAAGTTTATGATATACGTTGTTTCAGTTTTGCAGTCGTCTTTAGACTTCTCCTTTTTATAATGATATTTGGAAACTTTTTGGACTAAACACTCCCCAAAAAATCCCGGTTAAAGCTGTTTAGAAAATCGGCATAGCAAAGTTATTTCTTTATCATTTGTTAAAATATGATTTCTTTTCCATAATTTCAGAAGAAGTTAGTGGAGCGAGAAAAAGCTCAGACTTACATATCACGCCCTTTTAACAGGTAAGGCGTAAACTTAAGCTACGGTGAATCTTTAACTTGCTTAATTTGCAACATTTTTACAGAATGTTAAAAAGCGATGTTGCGCGTTTTACCACCCACGTTCAAACCCCTTCAAATCACTGCCGGGGAAGGCACCAGAACATGGGTTTAAGTTAACGTGAATGCTTTGAAACTTAAAAAAATTGTTTCCACAGAATGATCGCCTTGGTCATTCCTCGAGTAATTGAGGGCTAAGATATTGCAAAGAGCCATGTCTCGCAACCGCAAACTATCGTAGCATGTTAACGGCGAACAAGGGGTGAAAGTTTGGATCCGGCCCTTCCTAAAAATTAGTGAATCCGCCCTTGGGAATGTCGTGGGGGCGAGCACTGCTATGTGGTGGCGAAAGAGGGACACGGAGGAGAGGGCGGGAAGAAAAGGTGTCATTCTCCTCTTTAAAATTTATTGGCCAGAGCAATTTTTATTTGAAATTTAATGCCCTTTTTTATTTTTTAAACAGGATTGCTGACCTCATCTGAAGAAAACATCACTAAAATAGTCAATTCAACAACAGAAATGGGTCATCAAGCAGAGCAAACTACAAATAGTATTGTAGCCTGTTAGCAAGTTCTCAATTTATGAGCGAAGCGAACCTTTCGCTTCTCCTTTCGTGCGCAGCTCTCGCGTGACTTCTCGCGACTCCACCTAATGTAGAGCTTGCTAGCAGGCTAATAGTGTTGTGCTGAACCTCAGTTATGTACTCACCGTCTTCAGTTGTGCTTATACAGACCTTAAATCTTAAGTCCCAGGAGTGACCAACATCAATCTTCTCCCAACAACATCAATACATCATCTAGAGATAAGGTTATGAGAATTAATAAAATGATCACCTGAGAAAATGGTTTGATCTTTTATCAAATTCTCTCAACTAATTCTTCAAAGAAATATAGCGAGATCAGTTTGGAGAATTTGTATGTGGATATTGGGGCATAGAGGGTTAATATCATATCCTTGGCTTTCAAAACAAGGACTGCTTATCTTTGCACTGTGACATTATCACTTTACGTGCATGGTAAGACTGACAACTTGGAACAGCCCGCGTAGCGGGCGCTGAAAGGGGTAAGGGATTGGGGGAAAGTAGGGGAAAAGGGAGGGGGGTTTTTCCCATTCGCACTTTTCTCCGCCCCCTCCCCCTCCCTCTCCCCCTGCCCTCCCGCTCCCCTCTTTGTGCCTGCCACGCAGGCTAGCTTGGAACCGGAATGGGGAACCTTAGTATTTCTCATGTAATTAGCAGTGAATAAACTTCAGTTATTAACTCGTATTCGTTTGCTTAAGTAAACTACCAGGGACCTACGCTACGAAGTTTGCGACGTACATGAAAACGTCGCTGAAAAATAGACTTGGTATCCTTTCAGACTATTTCACGATTACCCCAAGTCGCTCTGTTTAATACATAAAAGAACGGAATTTATGTTAGAGCTAAAGAGAGGGGGGCCCGCCCCAGTTCAGACTTATCGCCTTGCTATTCGAGTTCTCAGGTAAACTTAAAATTTTGTCATTTCACGTCGTAGTCGTGCAGGGACGGCAAAGAAATGTACAAAAAAGCGTGATGCACGTGCAAAGTGGTTGTTTTGCACATTAAACCTATTGCTTTTTTGACGTTCCCGTTCCCGTTCCCGTTCCCGTTCCCGTTCCTGTTGCGTTCGTAGTTTTGTACAGCCCCTATTGTTTTTACACCGAGAGAGTTAACGTAGGTTCTTATTGTGTTTCGGCAATGAACCTTCTCTAATCTAATGCAGATTCGTCTACTAGGTTGGGAGTCCACGTCGGTCTTTCATCCTGCCGGTGAACGGCGCGAACGCGGAGCGGTTTAGACGGCCGAAAACTGAGCAGTTAAAGACGAGCAAAGATGCTGCTGCAAATGGCCATGTGCCGACTTTCATATTCGTTTTCATTCATTTTTCATTCATTTTTCATTTTCATCTAGAGGCTGGTTTTAAAATATTTTCGGATGAGAGTAATGAAAACGATACAAAAACGTTAACGTGGACGGAAAACATTTTATCTGTTTTCAAAGCGAAAAAAAAAACAGCATTTCGTTCAGTTCCTTTATATGGGTTTCATAGAAGAAAGCAGTTGACATTTTTTTTTCACTCTTTCCCAATGCTATTTATTTTATTATAATTTTAACGTTACGTTACCCTAGCGAATAGCGCTTTGTATTTTACCAAAATCATGAATAAAATGAACTGATCTTTCACGCATGAGAAATTAACATGGCGTGACAAGCGATTACGGTGGAAGTCGATCAAGGAAGCTCGAAGAGGAATGGCGAGGCAATTTAAATCCAATCAAAATTTGGACATTGATTGAAGCTCTTTACAAGCAGATGAGACATTAACTCTTGACGTCTCCTTTAGTGGGTCAAGCGGCGGAAATCTCTCTAAAAGACCATTTAGTTAACGAGGAATGTCATTTTTAATAAAACACGTCCGTGAGGCCTCACACTATCCCATTGTTTGCGTAAATTAAAACCCAATAGAAACATTTATTGCAGACAAAGGTCCTGAATGTTAATGTATCTGTTGCCAAAGCGACGATGGACATACTCGATAATTGAACATCTTCATTCTCAACAGCACAATCTTGGGGTATTCGAGAATAGCCATCTGTTCAGTTCGATAAATTTTGAAAAGCTTTGGAGCTCGAGAAATGAGTAACAATCAAGACGAAAGCGACGAAGAGAGCTCTAGAAAGCGCCTTACAGTTCCTAGCGGCTTTAGAAACCTACTCGAAAATCTTACCTTGGAAATTTTGCGGTCGAACCCAAGTGACATTTACAAATTTGCGGCTGAGTATTTTAAATCAAGGTTGCAGGAAAGACAAGGTAGGCGTATTGTACAATACTGTTGTCAGTTGTTATATCTGTAATCGTAGTTGTAGGATAAGAATGAAGAGGCGGTCGTTCGAGTATAAGAGAAGCGCTTGGATTTTCGCGAGGTCTTTATCAATAACACAGTTACTCAAACATGCGTCACTCGGCGCTGTTCACACTTCCAAAAACAACATTCGATCTCATTTTGTTTCCTTCTAAGTTTTAGTGCCACGTGTATCGAAACAAGATTTCGTATTTGCCCCCTATCCTTTTGAAAATCAATAGCACAGTTTCTCAAAAGCTTTCAAACATGGAAAGTCCTATCAGTTTTTACATCAGTTGTCCTCTCAGCTGCTCCGTTGACTATTTTTAAAGGACTATCCAAGGTGATCGGTTTTGTTTATGTTTTCTTGCGAGTTACGAAATATTTTGAAGCAAAAAGCGGCATTTGATCACCTTGTCAATCCTTGTAATTTTGAACGTTAAATACGGCTTCAGTCCTGTTGATATGAAATTGTCAGGACAGTAGAGGAGAATCGACACGTCGAATGGTAATGAATGAGTCGCCCCCACTGGGCCAATTTCTATGTCAGGGTAATTTTCGGTTCATTAAGAAAATCAAACGAGTTTCTCTAAATCTTGAAAATTATATATTATATTTTAAACTTCGTCATGAATGAAATCAATAAGAACTTGCCGAAGTTCTTGCGAAGTGTGACTGCCTATTTATTTTGAGTCCTTAAGAGAAACACTGTGGCCCATTGTGACTGACGAAAGTGTAGTTTTTCAGCTGTCCCCGACAATGTTTACATCTGTGAGTCAGTGTTTTGCAAAGTAAATTGGACTTTCGATGTAAGTTAGGGTTCAATAAATGCAGATTTGTGTTATAACATACTTTTCTTTTCACTTTCGAATTTCCTCTGAATCGTCAGCACAAATTATGGTTTTTCTCCCACGAACTCAAACGTTTATGATAACTACTTTTTGTAGGTTTTTTAGTAGGTTTACATTACTTTAATTCCATACCGACTGGGCTTTAGAAGAAGGAAAGAGCTAAGCCCACGTTGAAGGAACTTATAATAAGAAAGAAGCCTATAAAAAAATAATAATAAAAAAACTGGTATAACTTAAAACCATAAAAAAAGAAAGAAAAATTGGTAATCCGCAAAAATTAACGCCACGGTCAAATTTAATATATATCGGTTTCAAGTACAAAAACGTTTTGACTGTAGATACTGACAGTATTGACTGTGGGAAAAAGGGACCCTGTAAAAGACAGTTATCAAATCCGGGGATCAAATTTAGCAATTGACCATAAAATTGTATTTTTTTTTCTGATGTTGTTTCGCCTTATTTTGACTTAGATAAATACAACAAATCTGTATGCAATTTAGTTAAGAATCGCAACTTTTAACTTATTTCCAAGACGAAAAACCATGGCCAGTTACAGCAACTAATTAGTTCAAGCAAAATGTCCGTCATTTCCGTAATTGTTAATCCTAATATGCAACTAGATTTTTGAAGGGTAGGTTAACTGTTTCACCAAGATTATAATCAAAATGCGACCAAAGAGGTTTGCTCTCATTGCAGAGAAACTACTGTTTTAATTTTGAAGACACGAAGATGGTTTAGACTTTGAAATACTTGTTTTAACCAAGCAGGAAAATACCATTTGAAAGTGAAAAATTATTTTAACCTTTCATTTTGCAACTGCTGATGACGGTATATTTTTGCCTATCTAACGAGGTATCGGCCGGAGATTGAGTGGTTGCTGAATATTGTTTAAATAGATGTTTTACACCTGCAGTGTTCCTAATGACTGATTTACTGAAATGCAAATAATTCTTATTAACCATAAAATCACTTATCAGTTATTCGCCATTTGCACATCTCCCAAAACACACCTTGCTTGCACCCCAAAATTTCGCCGCATAAGTATTGTCTTATATTTCTCTTGGGACCGCTGTAATACCCTATCGATATATCCAAAAGAGTATCGAATAGAATTTCCGCGAAGTTTTCTCTTAAAAATGGGTTTAGAGGCATCTCTCCCGTCAGAAGGAATTAGGTTCGATACTTTTGCTCCAGTTCTTGAAAATGAGCGTTCGAAAATTTCCAAACATCAGCGATTTAATTGGTAAAGGGCCAAAAGGGAGGTTTTTTGCGCCCGAAAAGCTCCAAAATTACACTATCAACGGAAAAGAAATGGAGAAAAAGAACTAAGAGCGAGGAGAAAGGGAAAAAAGCAATGTATGGTTGCAGTTTAAATTGGCTGTACTTTGCGTGACTTTGGAAACGAGAGGGAAGCTTTCGAAAAGACGTCTGGGACTATTTATAAGGACAGGGGAAAAAGTTGGCCAATAGCTGACCGACGCGTCCCCAGTAGCGATCCCAGAAATAATAGCGGGACGCATCTCGGCTCCAGTCCCCTTCTCGTATCTAAAGTGGCGATTTCCCCGAAGAAGTCAGGATGTGCCCGACGAAATATTGGAAAGAAAAGCCTAAACTCATTGATGTACAACCAGCCTTGCTTTTTTACTGTATGTTTACAGCAATGAAAATTTGCTGATTAGATCCAGCAGGATCCGCACCTTTGTTTTGTACGTTGACCCTCGCTACTTGTGACAATAAAAGTATCACCACCGCATGCAATCTTATCCTGCTTGCTGTTCAGGTTACGTCTTCACGGAAACTGTCTCAGTGTTGTCTTTAAAAAATAACTAAAATAACGAAAGAAGTATCCGAATACTTTCTACCATTTTTAAGTTAGTGGTGGGTCTGCCCTATTGACCTTTTTTTGACACTCGATTCAGAATGGTTCTTAATCCCCATAAAAAGGAGGAAAAAAACCGCGTAAATTGAAGACTTGATGATCGTTCCGCAGCAGATGGAAACTCTCTCTGACCACCACTCATTTAATCTGTAAATAACGTTTAGCTTTTAACTCCATGAAAGTGCTTTATTTAAGCTTTTCTTTTTAAATACTTTTAACGCAGAGCGAGGATTTGATGATTGCCTTTTGGGGTCACAAATAGATGGATATTATCGCTACGAACCGTTTGGAGGCAAGCAAGAGAGTCTTGATAAAGCGGCCACGAAAATTCAATCCACTTTCCGTGGCCACAGGGCAAGGCAAGAGATTCGAAAAGGCAACGCCGCATTCGAAGAAAACGAGGCAGAAAAAACCCAGGGAGTGGTCGATGGTTTTGGCGGGAAACAATACGGCAGTGAGGAAGACGCGGCTGCCGTTCAGATACAAGCTGGTTGCCGTGGTTACATTACTCGTAAAGAGCTGAAGATGCGAGACGAGGCCGCGATCAAAATTCAAGCTGGTTATCGAGGTTACGCGGTCCGGAAAGGGTTGAAACAGAGCTCCGAAAGGTCAAACTTGGATAGAATCGACGAAGAAGTTCCAAAGGCTAATGAGGGCAATGAGCAGGTAGAGAGAAATGAAGAGGTGGAAGCCGCGGCTATTAAAATTCAGTCCGCATTCAGGGGGCATCGAACAAGGGAAACAGTGCTCAGTAAAAAAGAAAAGGAAGAGAACGCCACTGACGCGAAAGATGAGGGGAACAGAGCGACAGAAAGGGATCGTGAACTGGCTGCTATTAAAATCCAGTCAAGCTATCGTGGTTACCACACTAGAAAACAGATACAAGAAAGGGGGGAAGCAGCCACGAAAATTCAAGCTTATTACAAAGGTTACAGGGTCCGAGGGCTTCGTCGTGCGCAGTCAGAAGCTGCCGTGAAGATACAAAGCTACTACCGAGGATATAAGACAAGAGAACAGTTTAAAAAGAGTTATTCCTCGAAAAACTTCCTGACCGTTTCAAACGACGATGAGTTTGCCCTTCACAGGGACAGTCGAACATCGTTCAGTCTTCCCGAAGGCGTGAAATTTGAGGGAACCCTTGACGAGGACAGCGACTCGGAGATCGATAAGATGGTGGATCAGTTGGAAGAAAAGCAGAAATTGAAAGCAATCGAAGAAGCTTCGAGTCCCGATGCTGCAACGAAAGACAAGGGCGGTGAAGATAACTTGACCAACTGCTGATTCATAAAATGAGAATGGGTTTCAGGGATTTCATTCATAGACAAAAACTTATGAACCACCTTGAATAGCATTAATTACAACAAGGAATTAACTGCTAACACAGTAGTCTAAAAGCAAGCTACAAACGTATACTTGGAACACTTCGTGGTGGCATGGGGGGGGGGGTGATCGCTCAGAAGAATCGAAACACGGGGTTCTTTCCGAGAAGAGGTCTGGACACATCTACTTAAATCAGTTTATTGCATGCGATTTTTAAGTTACGATATGTGTAAACATGTGTGTTGTCACTAAAAGTTCTTCGTATTTTCCACGTAGTGTTTTACGTACAGCGAACACAGATCAGAGAATGCGTCATGGTCGCTTACAAGAAGTTAACAGCAATGGAAAATTGTTAACTGTCAGCCCCGAAAAGTTGTCCTGGTCACTTCAGAGAGGTCGTCGTGTACATGAGGTTCCAACTGTAAGGCTTTGACTAAGAAAATTTTGGTGTTTTTGATAGATGGTCGCTTACGAGAGATGGTCGCGCCTAGAAGTTCGACTGTTTATCGACGTCAATTGTTTTCACTCAAGATTGAAGAGCTTTACATCGGTTTTATAACTATGTAGCGTGTTAAACAATAAAAATGCAAGCAATGGAGATATTGGCTTTGATCTAGTTTACTCTTACCCACTTTGATTTATGCTTAAAATTAAGAGGATGTTCTTAAGTGGTGGCCGTATGATAAGTTATAACCAGGCGCACCTAACGAGAATATAGTCCAAAACCACTTAAACATAGCATTGTGAAACGTATTTTCGTATTTAAACGGTAGATATCCGCTAAAAAATTTTCATCTGTTCGGATTTCCTAGCTGAAAGTCTAGTGATCCGAAAATTGTAAGGAACAAAACCTACCTTTTCGAAAATTTCAGCCAGAAAAAAGGCTCCCGAAAATTCTAGGTGACCTTTTTAGGGAAAAAATCCGTTAAGGGAAAGTTCATTTAATATGACAAGGGGGGGGGGGGATGAAGATATTGAAACTCGAAGCTTGAAATTTTAGCAGCCCCCCTCGCTAGCGGTTCAATTTTTTAGGAGCCCCCTCCCTGGTAGTCGAAAAAATTTCAGAGCTCCCCCCCCTCCTCCTCCTTCAATTTCTTTGCTCCCCTGAAAAAAGATCGCTAGACTGTATTAAATATATTTACCGTATTGTCTTCAATGGTTTATCCTATGACAAACTTGAGATACAGTTGTGATACCATTTTCTAAAGCATTTTTGGGAAGAACAAGAGTGTAATAATTACTGAGACTACATTTGTTATATCTGTAAACCACGTGATATAGCTGAGTTGCACAGGTCATTAAATTGTTGAGTTGAAAACCATCCGATCTGTATGATGATGTCATGTGTTGGTTTTGAATTATACAAATTTTCGGAGCCCCCCCTCCTAGCGCAACAATTTTTTCAGAGCCCCCCCTTCGGGTGTCTAAAAATTTTCGGAGCCCGCCCCTCAATATCTTCATCCCCCCCCCCTTGTAATATTAAATGAACTTTCCCTAAAAATGGGCAATTTTACCATTTTTTAGATGTTCGAAAACCCTAGGAGAGGCAGGCAAGCAAGAAACTTTAAAAAAAATGTTCCGAAAATTCTGGATCTCAAATCGTCTTCCGAACAAATATTTTCTGAAAATTGACGCCGGGTGCCCCTGTTAAGGAATATTTTATCGCGATGTAATGTCGGGTATCATGAAGATTCTTTTATTAGTTGTTTAGAATTACATTACAGGTTCGACGTTTAAAATAATCATCAACATAAACCTTCCTCTGTCATGAATTCGTCCTTAAACAAATTTGTTCTATAATTTAGTACCATTGCGCGACTTCCACGACAACCCGTTTATCGCAACCCAACAAAGGCTTGTTTACATTCAAAAATATCGCATGGTTTGATATTTCAACCTTAACTTGACCCCTTGTCTAGATTTCCATAACTCCTCCTCTTCTATCCTTATTTTGGTTGTTTTTTAAGCTCATTTCCCGCGTTTTCGATCGAATTTATACAGTTGATAGTTTTTACTTGTAATTTAAAATATTTTAAGAAAAATAGTGTAGAATATCTCCCATTTGTCCTCTGAGTGTTTTGATCCGCTTCCGTAGTTAATTTATGGAAAAGTTTTAACCAATCATTTTCGATGAAGAAGCTTAACACCCTTTGTAAATCGACAACAACCTTAGATTTTCAATTTAGTATTTTCCTTTCTGTTATTATCAAAACCTTGTATACCGTATTTATTCGAATAAGCGCCCATGCTAAAGGCAGAAAACGTTAATAAGCGCCCAGCCTCGAATAAGCGACCACCCCACCCCAACCCCTCCCACAAAAACTCCAATAAGCAGATATAATAAGAGACCCTCCCGAAGACGGAGTTTTCTTCAGAGTATTTTACAGAAACCTTGCTTTGCTACATCTTCACTTTTTGTTGGTAACATTTACTGTTTTGTTGCAAAATATACTACTACACTTGCTGAGAATGGTGAAAATTTAAGAAACGCCCAGCCTCGAAAAAGCGCCCACCTCGAATAAGCACCCACTCTCAAGGTCCAAAAATTTAATAAGCGCCCAGGGCGGTTAATCGAATAAATACGGTACAAGCAGTTACTTTGTAATTTTTATATTGGTCACCTCGTTTTATATTGACTAGACAAACCAAACTTCATACTGAAAATTCGGGTTGAAAGATCACTTTGACTGGTCTGGTCATTTCAGTCGTCGGACCGAAATGTCTTTTTCCATCTGAAAAAAATTGTTGCCCCCAGTACCGCTCTTTTGTATCCTGCTTGCAAGAAGTCTGTGGAACTGGAAAATGTACCGTTCCACTGGGCACGTGAAAATTGGTTGTTGTGAAATTTCCGAAATTTCAAACCGGAATTTTTGTGAATGGAAAGCGCCCCTCGTCTCACTAGTATGTCACCGGTATGTCATCGGTAGGGTACATTTGACCCATGTACCCGTGTGGTAAATAAACAAAAAAACTGGAAGGCCCAGCTACAATACGGCAAAGGGCTGATATGGTAAATACTGGGTAAATAATTACACCAAAGTCACGTGAAACTACACGTGAAATCTCACGCTCAGAAGATGAAGTTGTAAGGTACAGTTCAAGGTTCATCCAAGCGGTTTAAATCGTCTGGTGAAAGAGTTTAGCCTCTATTTGTGAGGTCAGGAGCCCATTCGATGGGTAAGCTTCTCTTGCTTTACGGCGTATACTAAGTGTAGGCTGAAGTTTAAATAGAATAAGTTCTTTGTCTGTGATCGAGCGGCCAGTTTGGTTGAAGTGCGGAGGAACCGACACTATCGAAATCCTGCAAAATATATCGTCTATATCGGGCACCAGATATGGCGTGTAGTGGATTGCCCAAGGGGGGGGGGGGGGTTGGGGTGGGGCACTCCAGATTTCAAGTGACAAGGATGATTGATTGATTGGTAGTGCTTGTGTGACAACTTCAGATAGCATGATGAAGAAACAAACACAAACAATCAATTTTTTTTTTTTTTGTTATATCATTTAATGCCTTCTGGAAATTTTTAAGGCTCGGAAATTCGGCATGGGATTTTTTTGGGGTTAATTTTTTGTCCAGGGATTTTCTGGGGCTTTGTTGGAAGCCCTAGGGAGTTTTTTGGGTTTTGATTTTTGCCCCCTTTCGATGATCCCTGTCACTTGAAATCCGGTGTACCCCCTGGAGTGGATTGTTCATTCCCTGTTCGGTATGTTCCCTGTTTCCTTTTAGCATAGTTAGTAGAGGAGACTGGTTAGCCTGAAACACGGCAAACATCACAGTTGAAAACAATGGTGCTGTGGTCATGATGTTGGAAGCTCCCTGACCGTACACAATCCTTTGTTTTCTGTTCACAAATTATGACTGAATAAATTAATGCCATCTTTCTATTGGTTAATAACGGAATGCTACTGAACGTTGTGCACGGTCAGGTCCAAAAAAGCTAAAAAAAACCTATGACAAAGGGCTAGCCTGCGTAGCAGGCGTCGAAAGGGGTAGATGATAGGGAAAAAGGGAAAAGAAAGGGGGGTAGGGGAGAGAGGGGAAGGGCTCTCTTCCCTTTCCCCTCCTTCGTGCTTTTCTCCCTCCCCCTCTCCCTCCTCTTTTTGCGCCTGCCACGCTAGCCTCCCCGCAGACGTCCTTTGGGGTTTGTTTGTCACGCATTCATTTCTCCCCAACGGAGAAATGAATGCGTGACAAACAAACCCCAAAGGACGTCTGCGGGGAGGCTACTGCCACGCAGGCTACAAAAGGTTTCCCAACCAGTTCTCTTTAATTTAATAACTCTGCTTTGAGAGAGAGACCTGAAGGCCGGCTGACATTTGTCCTTTCACACTTCACTCTGTTGCATAATAAATTAATAAATTTTAATCCCATGAGAACGTTATCTCACTTCTTATTGGTGGACATTAAATTGTCACATGATATGACTGAAATAAACAATAACGTACAAGACAACACCCAGGTATAAATTTTGTAATAGACAGCTAATTGACAGCACTCGAACAGCAAAGGAAAGCCCAGATAAATTTGACGGTTCTCAGTTACAGTGTTCTCTAGGACCGATCAAGCATCTACCAAAGCAAAAATGGTGAGTCTGTAGTTAGATATATCTTATTCAGCACTCGATTCTTCTAGGAACGGAAATTACAAAGACCTTCACGCTGTTGGCGCGACATTGCAAAAGTGTCAGAGCTTCATTGTCTACCTACGAAATTTTTGTACTTTGTGTCAGATCGCTTGAGATGAATGCTTTGCATCGTCTTTTCGGCTTGGATACAAAACAGCTGGGTTAGTTGTTCGTTTGTTCAGAAGAAAACAGCTCTAAGGTTTCGAACGATCTGTTCTGTATTATTATTATGCGTAGACGCCGATAAATAAATATATTCTGCGTGATCAAAGCCGGGATCCAGCGCGCGACGGTATATATGATAGATTTCTTTCGCGATGAGCGTCTCCCTCAGTTTTCCGCAAGGCAAATTCTTTTTAGCATGACTAAAGTATTTTAGACTGCGAGCAGTCCCTCAATATGGTCACGCGAGCAAGGAAATTGAGCAAAGCGAGCGAAAGAAAAATTGTCCTGCTGAGCTTAGACTCGACTGACTCGCAGTCTAAAAG